AGAGAGGAGTAAAAGATTATACCCAGGTTGTTAATGGTGGTGGAAGGTCGAACCAAGATCCCGGCAATGTTAACATTGTCAGCACAGAAAGGAGCAACATTTTTTGGTGAACCGACAAGTAGTAGATCTGTTTTATCAGTGTTGAGTTTGAGAAAGTTACTGGTCATCCAAGCATTTATATCATTAATACAAGCTGATATGGAGTTGGTGGGAAAGGGAGAGTTGTGTTGAGAACTGATATAGAGTCATTTGCATAGCAGTGGAAGTTGAAGCTGTGATGACGGATAATGTTACCTAAAGGGAGCATATAGATGATGAAGAGTTAAGGCCCAAGAACTGAACCCTGAGGAACACCGTGAGAGACAGGAGCAGTAGAGGACTTAGCCTGGCGCAAAGCAATGTAATGCTGACGGTCAGACAGGTAAGAAGTGAACCAAGATAGGGCAGTTCCAGAAATACCAAGAACAGAGAGTCGTGAGATGAGAATACTGTGAGAGATAGTGTCAAAAGCCGAGGAAAGATCTAACAGAATTAAAATGCTAATGGCGCCTGAGTCAGTGGCCATAAGGAGGTCATTGACAACCTTAAGAAGTGCTGTCTCAGTGCTGTGAAGAGTGCAAAATTTAACCCAAAACCCATTAAAAAAACATTGACTTCAAGATGATTGAACCAGAAGTGCTAAAATACTAACTCATCTTTGGTTTTGGCCAGCAAAAATATGTCATCCATGATCCATTATGCATTTCAAATGGTCAGCGGCAAACAAAATCCAAGTTAAGATTGTTGCATTACAACCCTGGACATGCTTGCTTTGTGTGATGGAACGGCTGCCTCCCTCTAATTTTCATCGACACCCCGTCCCCTTAATCGCCGCCCTTCACCAGGCTCCCGACAGTGTTGTGTGGGTCCAGGAAGGGAGTGTGGAGAGACTCCCGAGCTGCCAGACCCACCGCGCTTAAGGGGTTTAACAGCCCAGCATCCTAGCCCGTCGGCAGCGTCACGGGTGCATCTCCATTCCGGACCATGGGTCCGGCAGCTCACGTCTCCACGCTCCCTCCACATGAACTTGGCATTGCGGTGTGGAGTGAAGAAAAAGACAGATTGTAAAATATGCAGACATCTTCAGTCAAATGAAATAATATAATAGCAAGAAAAGAGACAAACAGCCTCTGTGTACTCTGTTAAATTTAGCACCTCTAAATGAAACAATTGTCCTGCGAGACGGACTCAATCTGTTTTCTCTCTGTTTTTTCATTTTCCTCCAGAGTTTGTTCATGATGGCCGAGGTCAAGATGATCCGTGAGCTCCCAAGTAATCCTTCCGTTGCCATAGAGATGACTGGTGCCAGTTTGGCTTGGGAGACGGGCGGACACAGCGCCCAGCCTTCGCCTCGTGGTACGCCCTATGTAGACCTTGGAATTAGAGGGTGTCGTAAGAAGCGCCGGCAGCGTGACAACCCAAAACATCACGGGATGTTGGAAGAGGAAACGCATGGCCAGCTGTTGAATGATGTGCCTGTAGACATGGCGTCCAGTCCTGACGATCAAGCCCTTCAAGTGCCGACCATCAGTCAACGGCTGCAAAGAACTCTTCACTGCATCGATCTCTCCATACAAAAGGTCTTTGCCTTTCTGAATGCTCATTTGGTTGATTTGTGATGGTAGAGATAACAAGGAATAATCATACTAATGATAATTTCTGTGTTTAAATCTTTAGGGGAAGCTGGTCGGTGTCTGTGGCAGTGTGGGAAGCGGCAAAACTTCTCTCATCTCTGCCATTCTTGGCCAGGTGAGCGATTGTCTGATTTGAAGCATAAAAAAAGAGCAGCTGTCCTTTGTCTACGTTAAAGGCATCATGCATTCGATGTGTTCCGAAATCCTCTTATCTGTTATAATGCCTGATGTGTGTATCCCAGATGACTCTTTTAGAGGGGATTGTTGCTGTAAATGGAGATTTTGCATATGTGGCACAACAGGCCTGGATTCTCAATGCATCCTTCCGTGACAATATCCTGTTTGGCAAGGAAATGGAGGAAGAGAGGTGAGCACCAAACAAAAGGAAAATGTAAAGGCCCCAAAATACTAACAGCAAAGTTCTCTTTCATTATTCACTTAATAAAAAGAAAATCAAAATACTTAAGCAATGGTTTACTGTTAGCAAACATCCCAATTCCGTCCGTTCTCCTGAGAGCGGCATTTAGATGAATATGTAAATATGTGCTGCTCGTTTTCCTCAAAATAAACACACAACAATAATGACAGCAGTGAGAAAACAGCAGTTAAGAAAGCATCCGATCATAGTGATGTGGATATGTTTGCACCAGTTCTGTAATTCGGCACTACAGTGAAGTTAAGTCACGTCATGTTTGTTTATTAGCACTTTATACAATAGATTGCTTTAAAGCAGCTTAACAGTATTAACTCCTTCCCCACCACCGCTAGCATTTTTGATCATTTTCACAAAAGTTTTAATTGCCTCCAGAATATTTTGTTCTCATCAGAGCCTCTGATTTAAACAAAAAAACCTGTTTTATTCTAGCTTCATGCAGTCTTTTTTTATCAACACTTGAATGTGGGCAAGTTTCATGAAAAAAGCAACATTTTGACCAAAAAGCTGCTAAAATCGCGTTTTTGTCAAAGACTACATCTGGATCAGATTCAGAACGATGATCAAAACATAGATGGTGTAGATCGCTTCCATCCTTGCAGGATCCTCAAACACTTCCTGGATCGTCATTTCATTCGGTAACGTTGGGCAGTTTAGATTTATATGCTGTTTAATGTTTGATGATTGTGTTATTTTACACATGCATCTGCTTACATACGCGATCGCTTGTTTCTGCTTCTTCTTCACCGTGTTTGATCCAGAGATTCAGTGCTTTTTCAGAAGGTGCGTAATAGCGCCTCCTACCCGTACACCAGTAAAAACACGGGAAGCCGGACATTTCCGTTAATGGCGGGGAAAGAGTTAAACATGAAAAAACAGTGTCAAAGTCACTTTCAATTAAAATTACAACCTCAGTTTCTATTATAAAGCAGCTCTCCAGTGTGTTCATGAATAAAAGAAATGAACCCTATGTTATGTAATCGTCACAGACCAACAGTAGTCATTTCGAACTTCCGAAACAAACTCCAAATGGACTTCATTTTGGCCTGATTTTGTTCAAATTGTGAACAAATATTCTTCAAAATGATGAGTATCTTGGGGCCTTAATAATGGAACATGTCAGTACTGAGTAATGTGTTTGAGTTTAGTGTGAAGGAGACTAAAGGGCTGAGCGAGTGAAATGGGGCTGCAGGCGAATTGGTGAACCCAGCTGGAAGATAAAATGAGCACACATGACCTTGAGCGCTTGTGTTTGTCATTAAATAACCTCCACATGTTTCCTGATATATTAATAACTGTATTGACACCTTACCATAGAAGAGTAAGCACTTTTGGTTTTTTAATGCAGGACGTTTTATTCTTCCATATCTTTTATTTGTCTCCTGCAGGTATCAGGCTATTCTGAGTGCTTGCTGCTTGAGACCAGACTTGGCCATCCTCCCTAATGCTGACCTGACTGAGGTAACACATCCTACACAAAAATCAAGATCCTCGTAAGCCCGTTATGCACTGCATTATTTACACAAACTGAATGCGTCATTCTGTACTTGTAATGCATTCTTATGTTCAAGGCGGCAGGCCAAAACAGTGAATCTAATCACTATACCAGCAAATGTTCACTTCAGGAATGAATAATATGGCAAAAGTTAGGTGTTTGAAAAAACAGCACAAAAGGAAAGAATATTATAATTTTTCAGACCACAAAAATACAGTCTCACAGGTGAAGATGCAATGGAAAACTCACATTGAAGGCGATCGAAACACACGATTTTACTCTATGACAACAGAAATCCTTTAGGATCCCAGAAATTTGTTTCAAATGCCAAAATCGTGGCTAAAATTGTACAGTGTGCACCAGGCTTTAGAGCTGAGCTACTAATACAATACGAATACATTGACAAAACACTAAACTCCCCTTTAAATGACGGTATAATCGGGGCCAATCTTTTGAAAAGTGGTGTGATTTCTTCTTGTCAGATTGGAGAACGTGGTGCCAACCTGAGCGGCGGGCAGCGTCAGCGGATAAGCCTGGCTCGAGCTTTATACAGCAACAGGGGTATTTACATACTTGATGACCCTTTAAGTGCTCTGGATGCCCATGTCGGAAATCACATCTTCAACAACGCCATCAGAAAACATCTGCGTGGCAAGACCGTCATCTTTGTCACTCACCAGCTACAGGTATTATAATGTCATGCCCGGTGGAGTGAGATTTCTATGAATTTTTCATTCAACTTCCAAAAAAAACCTGTCCTGTTTCTGTTCTCAGTATCTGGTGGACTGTGATGACGTGATCTTCATGCGTGACGGCAGCATCACAGAGCAGGGCAGCCATGAGGACCTGATGAATCTGAATGGAGACTACGCCGCCATGTTTAACAACCTTCAACTGGGAGAAACACCATTCATTGAGGTCAGAAAACCCCAAAATGAAAACTGTCATCATTTACTCACCCGCATGTCAGGATGAACCTCAAACATCAAGAACCAATGGGGTTTGACTATAGTTGACACATGAGGTTCAAGGAATAAAGATTTTAATTTTTCATGTCGCTTCAGAAGACTTGAATTATACCAGTCGAGTCTGGATGAATTAATTTCACTTGTTTTGTTTTTTTTAGCTTTAAAGTTTTGGGTCCCATTGAATTTTATAAAATGGACAACACATCTGAAGCATTCTTCAATTATCTTCTTTTGTGGTCTACAAAATAAAGTCATACAGGTTTTGAATGACACTAGGGTTTGTAAATGATGACAGAACATCATTTTTGGGAGAACTATCCCTTAAGTTCAAGTCATCATTCTCCTCGTGTTTTTCCAAACCCCGTATGACTTTATTGCTTCTGTGAAACACAAGTTTTGAATGTCTACACAGCTCTTTTTCAACAGCCCCATCGGTTCTTGCATGATTTTTGCATATGCACAAATGAGATCGAACCCATGGTGGAGCTTTCAAATCTGTCGTTTTGTGTCATCTCAGGTTCCGAATAAGAACTCTGGGAGTTCCTTGAAGAAACCCTTGGAGAACAAGAAGGCAGGATCTGTCAAAAAAGAAAAAACGGCCAACCAGGGTGATGGTAAGTACGAGTATGCTAAACACTGTAAATTACACTGAGCTCTACTTGACTGAGGCTTTGATTTACCTCACTTCTGTCTGTTTTCTTTCAGGTCAGCTGATGCAGGTGGAGGAGAGAGGGAAAGGCTCAGTGCCCTGGGCGGTGTACAGAGTCTACATCCAGGCTTTAGGAGGGTGGCCTGTCTTCCTCTTCATCCTTGCCCTCTTTGTTCTCAATGTGGGCAGCACAGCCTTCAGCAACTGGTGGCTCAGCTACTGGATCAAACAGGGCAGCGGGGTAAGAGAACATGGGCAGTTCGGAGCAACGGAAAGGCAGAAAGGCTTCAATTCCATGAGACCAGAGTAGAAGTGTTTAAATATTTCATGTGCTTCTGACCTTTACCACTGGTTCGTTTCTTTTCTTTCTAGAGCTGTTTCTGTTAGTGTGTCTTCACACATCAGAAATTACATATCACAAATGATCGCCAATTATATTCGTTTTGGCCACAAAACTCATGCACTAAAGTATCAATATTAAAAAAATTCTTTATCTTGGTCTTTGCTGGCATAGTGTGATACGACTGATCTTTGTGTCATATTCATCATTTCTGTATTAACAAATAAATATTAATTGGATATTTAACGTCACCATGAAATAAAAATGTATAGTTCTTTTTTTATGGAATTTTGCAGTATTTATAATAAATGATGTATCTGTGCACATCATTATTTTTTAAAATAATGCCCTCAGTCTTTAACCACAAACATTAACTTTGCAACGACATCTCTTCTAGCAACCTGTCACTCACATGAGATTGCAGCAATTAACAAACAACAATGATCCAATTCATTCTCGGTTGATTGCAACTTCCATTTCAGGCCGACTTTGAAGATTAAAACAATAAATATGTTACATACCATGAACCAACCTCAATGTAAATGGACCTTGTTTGTGTGTGTGTATATATATATATATATATATATATATACATATATATGAAACACCGCAATTCTATAATTCTACAATTCTTCAATATAATATTGAACCTTTTGGTACAACATCCACTGCTAACTGTATTGTTGCATCCCTAATATATATATACACACACAAATGTTCATTCATTACCATGTTCTACTGTATAATGCAATGTGTCTGTGGTTTCTTGCTCAACAGAACACGACGGTGCAGGTGGGGAACAGTTCAGTACTGAGTGAGAGTATGCGTGATAACCCTCTGATGCAACACTATGCTGCTGTCTACACTATGTCTATGGGAATCATGCTCCTTCTCAAACTACTGAGAGGCATTGTGTTTGTTAAGGTGAGTTTTTACATCATATAGTTACTTGTATAGCGATTATTGTTATGCATGATGGACTTGCTGTGTCAGAGAATGAGGTCCACGTTTCAGCATCATTGTCTTTTTTTTTCATATTGCCTGCACATAATTTCGCTGGATCCCGCGGCAGATCACACTATAAATAAATGCATAATTGCTTACTTTATGTCCTCCGTGTTTACTTCCGTATGACGTGTTGAAGTGTTGCCAAGTGCACAGTTTTTCCGCAGAATTGGGCTACTTTTTCACTGTTGCCGCGGGTTGTTTTTCAACTCCGTGGGTTAAAGCGACCCCACTAACACGATGTTTAACTGAAGTGGCATTTAGATGTATTTACACTGCAGTTACAATTGCATAAATAATGTCATGAGATTAGTGTTTTAAAAATAATATTTTGGATATCGAAATATGAAATTATTTGTAAAAAATTAAATGGTATTTTAAATATGAAATTAAAACCACCATTAGGTGGCTGCAAATCTGAGTGAGTCACTGAGTCATTTACGCAACTGATTCATTCAAATGTATAATTTAGGAATGATGCAAGTGACTGTCTTTATGAATGAATTATTATTGTTGATTTGTTTAAAAATGCCGATTCATTCAGGAACGAAAAACTACTGTTGCTTGGTTCTTTTATGGCTTTGTTTGGAACTTTTTTTTGTTGATGAAATGGAGCATGGAGAAAAACAGACAATAACCCCTAAAATGTACCTCACAATATTAACTTATTGAACTTTATTGAATGGTTGTACAAAATTAATATTGTTATCATAGACGATACATATCACACACCTATGGAAGCCCGTTTCCGCCACTGAATAAAAAATAAAAAAGGTAATTGCGACTTTTTATCTCACAATTCTGACTTTTTTTCTCAGAATTGCGTGATATAAACTCGCAATTGCGAGATATAAACTCACAATTCTTTTTTTCTCGCAATTCTGACTATAACATGCAATTGCGAGAAAAAAAGTCAGAATTGCGAGTTTTTATCTCGCAATTGTGACTTTATAACTCGCAATTGCGAGTTTATATCTCACAATTCTGTGAAAAAAGGTCAGAATTGTGAGATAAAAAGTCGCAATTACCTTTTTTTTATTCTTTTTTTTTTTATTCAGTGGCGGAAACGGGCTTCCATACCTTATGCTATGTTCAGACAAACTCTCTTACCTGTCTCACACGTCTAAACGTTTCCCTGTCTTCTCTCAGTGGACACACGTCTGCCATTCCAGGCTGAGATGTTCATTCAGAACGTGATTCTGGTGCTCTTCTGCTTGGGTGTGATTGCCAGCGTGTTCCCGTGGTTCCTGGTGGCAGTAGGGCCGCTGGTGCTCCTCTTTATAGTGCTGCACGTGGTTTCTCGGGTCTTCATTCGAGAAGTCAGAATTGTGAGACAAAATGTCGCAAAAACCTTTTTTTTTTTTTTTTTATTCAGTGGCGGAAACGGGCTTCCATACACACTTCTATTTTCAGACAAACTCTCTTACCTGTCTCACACGTCTAAACGTTTCCCTGTCTTCTCTCAGTGGACACACGTCTGCCATTCCAGGCTGAGATGTTCATTCAGAACGTGATTCTGGTGCTCTTCTGCTTGGGTGTGATTGCCAGCGTGTTCCCGTGGTTCCTGGTGGCAGTAGGGCCGCTGGTGCTCCTCTTTATAGTGCTGCACGTGGTTTCTCGGGTCTTCATTCGAGAACTCAAACGATTAGACAACATCACACAGTCACCTTTCCTGTCCCACATTGCCTCCAGCATTCAGGGCCTGACCACAGTGCATGCTTATGGGAAAGAGGACGGATTCCTTCACAGGTGAACGCTGGGATATCAGTCTGCCTCACTTTATTGCATATTTCTCCTTAAACGATAAGACTTCCAGCGAGCACGGTTGATGGACTTTGTCTGTGTGTTTTCTCCCAGGTATCAGGAGCTGCTGGATCAGAAGCAGGCTCCCTTCTATTTGTTCAGCTGTGCCATGCGCTGGCTGGCTGTGCGTCTGGATGTGATTAGCGTGGCTCTCATTAGCATCACAGCTTTGATGATCGTCCTCATGCACGGCCAGATTCCTCCTGCTTACGCAGGCTTGGCCATTTCCTATGCCATGCAGGTGAGGGGAAATTGTGTAAAATGTTGTTTTTCCACTTTTAAATGGATAGTTCACCCAAAAATGATAATTCTGGCATTTACTCACCCTAGTGTCATTCCAAACCCATAAGACTTTGGTTCTCTTTCTATCTTTGAAACCTGGACTTTGCACCCAAAAATGATAATTCTGGCATTTACTCACCCTAGTGTCATTGCAAACCCATAAGACTTTGGTTCTCTTTCTATCTTTGAAACCTGGACTTTCAATGGAGGGACAGAAATCTCTCAGGGTTTCAAAGATTATCCAAAGTCTTATGCGTTTGGAATGACATGAGGGTGAGTAAATGATGCCAGAATTTTCATTTGTTGGATAAACTATCCCTTTAATTCTACATTTTTGTGTGTATAAAGATATTTTCACTCTAAAGCCTTTGGTGTAGACCAGTGGTTCTCAATTCCAGTCCTCACATACCACCGCTCTGCACATTTTGTATGATTCTCTTGTCACTTCAGACGTTTGGTGTAGTGCAAATCTGTGAATGAATGTTCTGAAGTGAATGTTCGGAACAGATTTCCCGTGCTCCTCCCTGAGCAATGAACACTGTGTAGGGACCATGTCAATCGGTACACAGTTCATGCATGGAGCTCTTTTCTAACGAGCTGGTGGTCTGAATCGTGTGTGTTAAATAAGAGAGACATGTAAAATATGCAGAGCGGTGGACCACGAGGACTGGAATTGAGAACCACTGGAGTAGATCATGTTTTGTAAAACATTTTTTTAAACTCTTGAAAATCCTGAAAACAGGCTTGGGATATGGTTCATATAACTGTTTGCAGTCGTTATAAAAGCAACACAGCCTATTTTCCAGAAGTAAACCACAAATGATGATGTCAAGTGGAGGCAGAACAGCAAATGCATTTCTCATCACTGCTGAGAAAATCCCACATTCTTTGCATCTGTGGCAAAATAATGCAAGTGCCATTCTGTGCATGTTATGCCTTTTGCCTGATTGGTTTTCTGCCAAAACAGGTGCCACTAGTACTCACGGCGGTATTCATGTTGATGACACAAATGTACAATGGTTTAGAGCCAAATATCATAATGTGAAAAGAGACCTGCGGTGAAATATGGAGGGAAAAGTGTAGGACGCAGATATTTCCTTTAAATGAGATTTGCATACGGTCAGATTGTCTCACAACAGAAGCTATTGTATTGTATAAAGGAAGCAGATTAACTAAATCTATATAAAAAAAAGTTACCTAAAAACTAGAATAATGTTAACTGGAAAAAAAGCTTATTTGAAGTACTAAAATAACTATAAACTAATAAATAGTGCTGTCAAACGATTAATCGCGATTAATCACATCCAAAATAGAAGTTTTTGTTTACATAATGTATGTGTGTGTACTGTGTATATTTATTATGTATATATAAATACACACACATACAGTATATATTTTTGAAAATATGTACATGTATTTACATGTATATAATTTATATATTATATATATATATAAATATTTAATATATAAACATAATGTTAAACATAAACATAATATATAAACATAACGTTTTTCTGAAATATATACATTATTGTGTGTATATTTATATATATATATATAATAAATATACACCCGTGGCTGAACATCTCTTTCGTCTCTCACAGCTTACAGGGTTATTCCAGTTTACTGTTCGCTTGGCCTCTGAGACCGAAGCTCGGTTCACCTCAGTAGAGAGAATCCACCATTACATCAAGGTACCAGTCCTACATCATTGACGATTTCAACTTGACATTAAAAGCTTCTCTTCCAGACGTCTGTTGTCACTCTTTTACGATGAATTCAGAAAGGATGAAGTTCTACCTTTGCTTAGTCACCTCTGTCTGTCTTAGTCTCTGTCTCTGGAGGCTCCTGCAAGGGTGAAAAACAAGGCTCCTCCATCTGACTGGCCCCAGGAGGGTGAGATCGTGTTTGATGGAACGGAGATGAAGTACAGAGACAACCTCCCAATGATACTGAAGAAAGTTTCCTGCTCCATTCGACCAAAAGAGAAGGTCGGGATTGTGGGACGAACAGGCTCAGGTCCGTCTCTTCTCCTTGTGTCTTTCCTCAGCAGTTAATATGTTTCATTTTTCTTTTCTCTTTTTATTATAATTTTGTGATCCCACAAATAAATAAATAATACAGAAATTATTTTCTGTAAGTCTGTGAGTGGCTCATTCACTTATATAATAATGGCAAAAATATATTCTTTATGGTTTTAAATACCTAATAAAGTATATAGTGTGTAATAACAGAGGTTAATAACAAATGTTTATCAAGAAAAAATTCTTATGCAAGTCAGATATTCAACTTATGCTAACTTTTAGAATCAAGCCTTTTATGAAATGACTTTCATGGATGAAAATTAGGGATGTAACGATTCACTCAACTCACGATTTTGATTTCACGATTCGATTCGATTCACGATTATTATTATTTTTTAACAAAATGAGATTTAAGAAAAATTATAAATTAAATGTGTCCTTTTATTATTGCTTGGGCAAAATGCTGCACATTTCTTTGTGAAATTGAAATATAACACTATAATAATATACTAATATAGCACTTGCATATTACTGCTCTTTCGTTGGTTTTGATTGCTTCTATTGTCCTAATTCGCTTTGGACAAAAGCATCTGCTAAATGACAAAATTTAAATATAATGTAAATGTAAATAACAAAACGTCTCGGTTACGTATGGGAACGGAGACGTCATGTCGGATGACCGACGAAATTGGGATCTCGCTTAGAGGGACCAATCTACTTCGAGTGT